GGGGGGGGGGGGGGGGAAGGAGTCTTTTGCGCAAGTTGACACGTCGTTGGCCGGGTCGGTTGCGCTCGGCAAAAGTGTCGGCGGGGCGCGAACCGACAACGACCGCCCGGACACGACCGACACCGTGTCGCGGCTGCTGGAGGGGAAGGAAGTCCAGGGGCAAAGTGGAGTACCAAACTAAATGTGGAGTGGTGGAAGGTACCGCGGCCACTACGGGTGGGGGGAGGGCAAGAGAGAGCGTGACTCCCTGGGGTGTCGTTGGTGGGGAGAACCGATGGCGATGGTGGGGAGTTGAGCGCAGCTCTGTCTGCCCTCCGCCACCAAACGGCCAACAGTCGCGACTACAAGCCCGCAACGTTCGCGTCACACCTCGTATCGCCTTTATTTTTTTTTTGTTCGTTCAGTCACTCGTGAATAGTGAATTGAGGATTTAACAATCGACGATTCATTGTGAATTGTGTAATTTTATTTGTGATTACTTGTGAATTAACGATTCAGGCGGAACTCTCTGGATTACATGAACGAATGTGACGTCATCGCTGATAAGACCCGGTCGTAGCCGTGAATGGCTTCGACTGTGATTGCAGGGGAAGTAATTGAAGTTGCAAGGATTACAGAGTGATTTGTGGAGTTCTGGAAGAGTGCTGTGAACTGTGCTTTATTTGTTTATTTTGGGAATAATTGGATAATTTATAAACATGCTGACAAGTGCGAATCAGTATCTCCGTCCGGAATACCTGCCGCCTATGCAAACAACGGTCAGTTGATTTATTTATTTATTTATTGCTGTAGACGAGGGTCAATTACAGGGTCAAGAATCACTTATAATGCGCATAAAAACACAATATACTGATAAAATTCTCAAAGAAGACAAATAATAGTTTTACGATTATTGTCGATTACGATAATTGATAGATTCATTCCTAATTTTTATGTCGATGTGAATGAGCTCCACGCATGGTTCTCTACAATCGCCCGCTGTTTTCGTTACATTCCATTCAATTCTGTATAAATAACCACGGATATAGGGCATGAGAATGTCTTCAGTCTAGTCGTTTTCCATTATCTCCCTTATTTCAACAATTTCACGGTTTACCCTTTCGTTAGTCTGAATATTCTACAGCCGCTCCAAGGGGAGAATACCAAATTCTCAAATCCCGTGCAACGCTGTATTTCCTAAAGTGGAAAAATACCTTGCAAAATCTCTTCACGAAAGCGCTGAAATGTCGCGACGCATGTAAATAGTTCTCTCCACATTGGAAATTCCACGAACGACTGCAAAAGTTTCAAAATTCCCAACTGAAACACCGACAACTCTTTTATTCATATCATTTTTTTTTCTCGTTCCGTATATTTTTAAATTTATGCAGACGATTTTCTGTTTTTTTCACGTCCTGCCATATCGCATTAGGTTAATTTAGAGTTTTTTCATCCACTCGACTCTCTGTAAACTATTTCCGGTGGGACAGTGAGTGGTTGGCAAAGTTTCGTCGGCTGCATGAGTCTGGGTTTATGTGCACTCCCGTAAATCAAGTCGAATGGGCTTTTTTTACGTCTTTTTTTATTTCTCCCCGTAGATTTGACTCGTTGACAATTGCACTCATATTTATACATTTTTACAGTATATTACGAGTTTTATAAATACGCAGTGTCGTAAAAACCACTCGGGTTTTAAAAGAATAATGAATATTTAAAAAAGCATATTCTCGTAAAATTAGAAATATAAAAAATGCATTTTTCAACGCATCGTTTGACTCCTCTAACGTGACTTGGCACTCTGCCGGAATAGTGGGGGAGGCATTTAACGCGCACCAAATGCTCGGCTGTATAATTACCCGAGAGTTAAATTTTTTTTTCTCGCTATCACAAGAATCACCTCATTTTTCTCCTTTTTTATCATCAGTGACAAAATAAAATCCTTTCGTGTCGAGAAATAAAGGAAACGAGTGGAGATAATGACTGAATACATTCTGACGACCCTCTAACATCTCAAAGGAACACATAATATTCTCAAATCGTCAGACAATCTAAATCCAGCGACGAGTCTCAAGTCGGTCCAGTTTATACACCAGATTTTATCACTCATAGTTCATGCACGCGTCATAAACTCAAGCTCCATTTCAAAGGCCCTCTCCCCGTTCTGTCTCTCTTTTCATCCAACAAATCTCAAAAGCATTTCTTCTCTCACTGGGCGTTTATACAGCGGCTAAATCCGCGGAATGGTTTTCCCTCCGAGCAATTTCACGACGTCCATTCAAATGAAGTTGGACCGTAGAGAAAGCAGTTTGGTTAGAGAAATGTAAATTATTATTCTACACTGGATCATCCCCAGAAGCGCCGGGCGAATCTTTCATAAGTTTCAATCCCCCTCCACTATTTCGCCAACGACCTGAACCGAATACACTTTAGTCTCTTACTTAATATTTTACGGTGCAATTTGGCTGAATTTCAAGTCACTTGAGAGTTAACTGCAATCATGTATTCATTGGACTGTGTCTAACGATTATCTTTGCTTCGTTTACTTCAGTTGGATGCCAAGCAGAGCCCCCTAGCAATGTTGGCGAAGACGTGCAGTCAGATTGGTGCGGATCCGCCGACGAAATCCCTCTTAGCGCCTCTGGAAAAATCATCGAAGACATCAAAGTCGTCAGAGTCCCGGGAGAAGTCATCTCCGATCGCGTTAGTTGAGCCCGGAAAGTCGAGTTTCAAGCCCTACGAGTCTTGTCTAGGACGTGAGAAAGCATCCAGCCCTGAGGAGCAGCAGCGAGCAGCCTCAAGCCACTCAGCATCCGGCAGATCAAGAACACCTGGCAGCAAACGCTGCTCCAGTAATCAGAGCGCCTCGTCGAGAGCAATGACACCTCAGGGACGCAAGACAGCCACGCCCAATGGCAACGATCAGACAACGAGGGAGTCACCAGCATTAAGGACGAGTGTTTCTGGTGGAACGACAACGGCAGCTGATCCCGTGTCGTCACGAGCCTCCAGCAGTCCTCAGCAATCCAAGTCGACGTACAGCCCGAATGTTCTGTCCATGGACCCAACGATGAAGGACATCTCTCTGGGCTCCTTCAAGCAAGCCACGAGCATCCCAACGTCTGTTGCAACATCTGTTGGCTACCTCGGTTATCCACCGCAACTTCCAATCGACGTGATGGCAAGCTCTCTAGTCTCTCAACATCACGCAGCACTGAAGAGCGGTCTCGCCGGCAATCCTTACCTGAGCTATGCCAGAATGAAGACGTCCACTGGCGCCGAGACTCTAGTGCCTGTTTGCAGAGATCCATATTGCACAGGTTGCCAACTCAATTCACACCTACTGGGATCAGGGGCAAAGATACCCGTCTCATCTGCGTCGACACCAACTACCTCTTGTCCAGCGGGATGTGCCCAGTGTGACCACAAAACCAGTGTTGCTAATCCCTACGGACCAATGGGTGTACACACAACAGCAGCTGCTGCTTATGCACACGCCCAACTAGCAGCACTAGCAGCTGCGTCGCAATTACCTTTCGTTTGCAATTGGATTGCCGGTGATACGGCGTACTGTGGAAAGAGATTCTCGTCCTCTGAGGAGCTTTTGCAGCATCTCAGAAGCCACACGAGTGTCTCAGCTAATGATCCGACAGCTGCTGCGCAAGCCTTGTCGTTGTTGTCACCACCGGGACTACCACCGACTCATCCACTTCTGTCGAGAACATATCCTACACCTCCTTTGAGCCCACTGGCCACGGCTCGCTATCATCCTTATGGGAAACCCTCACCACTGCTGCAACACTCGTTGTCGACGTTGGGACTGGGTTTCCCACCTTCTCATCCGCATTCGGCTGCTGCCGCCGCTGCTGCTGCTGGGTTACCACCTTACTTCTCACCTTATTCATTTTATGGTGGCCCGCGTCTGGGCGCCGCCTCTGGTATGCATCCCTGAAGCGGATACTGATAAACTTTGTTGAATATAGGTTAGGGAACTTGCATGATTCAGGGAACTTTTAACCCTAGTCTGGTCACCAAACGCAGCCCTGCGACTTGGCCACCTTCGCGGGGATTCCCCGCCGTGCTATTTAGGCTCTAGTGCTGCCGAATTCACTCTACACTGCCCGGACGCGTTTAGCGAGTTTCTGGCAACGTCGCGTCATGGGCCGTTTCATTTAACACACGGAGAGAAATGTTCAGTTAAAAATTACGGAACTCAATTCGGTCACCGATTACAGAATCGACTCAGAAAATTTAAGTGACGGTATCGTCATTTTTCACAGGAGAGTCAGGTCAAAATTACGGAACGCTCTAGAAAAATTGCGTGACAGTTCCGTAAAATTTCCTGCAACTACGTTTCGCTCCGGAATTACCGAAAAGAGGCGTAATTTTTATTTAATATTTCTCTCCGTGCATCGGAAAAAATGATTCATCTGTCCGAAATAATTTGTTTTCGTTAGGAATTTGGGGAAATATGTTGTTCTAAAAACTACTATAATTTTTCCGGTTAGCCAGTCCAGTGTAATTAAAGAAAAACGACGCCCGGCGGGGTTTCTCTCATAGGATGACCAATCTAGGGTCAAATTTCGAATAATGGAGTGAAGGGTCGATCAATTATTTTCAGAATTTGCGTGTGGGACGTTTCATGCCAACTCAGCCACATTGATTTTTTTCAACTTATAAATGTTAATCAGGATGTTAAAGATTAAGGAGCATCTGAATGCAGAATTTGCAGTGAATTTTTATCGCATTAATACACTGAAATTTCCAAAAATCTACCCGGCGAATGAATACGCGGATTTAAATGAATAAAAAACCATTCTTTGGCACATTTTTTAATTATTATTTTTTTTTAGATACAAACATAGTTCTTTCGACACATTCTTATATTTTTTTCTCATTTTTCGATTCAACTTTCAGACAAGGGTCAATCGAAAATGAATGGACTTTTCTTTACGGAAAAGCGTTTGATTAATAAAAAGCGCTTAATTAATAACCGTGGTGGCTTATTTGGCATAAAATGTCCCATATCGCAAGCGCTCTGACATGAGCTAAATCGTGCGCGCGCATTTCCATACGAGCAAAAATGGATCTCGAAGACGAGTAATTTTTTTATTAAGGATGTTCATTCAGTTGCAAAGTGGTCAAACGGTTTAAGTCAATTTAGTCTTTAGTTGAGTTTTCCAGAATGTTTTCAGAAATATTTCCAGAAGTATTTCCGAATTTAAGGGAGATAGCGCAATTCTCGTAATAACTTTTTTTGTAGAACGAATTGAGTGCTACTAAAAAGGTTATGAGAAAAATTTTGCTCGTATCTCCCTTAGATTTCGAGATATTCATTGAAAACTGGCCAATAGCCAAAATCGACTTAAACCGTTTGACCACTTCGCTACTGCACTCATTTTATGAAGTATGGAATCAGAAAAATGCTATCAATTTCTCAAACTGGTAATCCATTCACTGAAAGACTCAAAAAATAAAAATAATCAACTTGCGTTAGTAGATCAAAATTTTCGGTTTCGGATGACCATCTTCAATCATAAATATTCTAACTCATAATTCACATTTTTTTGTTCAACACATAATTTTTTTGTTCAAATAATTGAGTTTCATGCGAGTTCCCTGCGATAAAGAAATACCAACTGTTTAACTGTGATTTTGAATTTGTGTGGGTGAATGTGTGGATGGAATTTTAGTGACTGAGGGATAAATCATTGGTACCTCGATACATTTTTTTGTACATAGTTATTACCGTTGATGATAATTGGGGATAATTACCGCGTTCTCGCGTACAAAGTAACTCAAATCGTTTGAGTTGTTTTGAACGCAATCCTACGTTTACAGATTGGTGGAAGAAAAATTGATTGAAATTCCTTGGATGACTAAAACGATGAATTTTAAATTAATCTAATGTAATCGGTCTATGTACACTCACACACATAACTCTTAAATTATAATCATATCTCAATTCAACTAGTTATCATTGTAATTACTGTAAATTTGTTTATAGTCGCTCATTGGCAGGTGCAGTAATGGTGACGAATGCTAATGAATATACGAATATATTATATATATCAGCGTCTATTTTTGCGTAACCAAAGTTTTTAGTAACGAGATCGTTAAATTATAGTGCGACGAATAAAAAATGGTTCAATAACTGGGTACATGATGACTCTGTACTGAGCGGAATAAAAAACATTGCGGAAATGATATGAAAATGGATAATAATCGATCAGTGAATCTGAATTATAGATATGGAAGAGAAAAATGAATATGTAAATATAGATTTATTATTCTTAATAATAAATGTTGGCCCGAGGACATTGTAAATGCCCCGTGACTAAGGAAGAAAAGTACTTTTGCTCACCAATGCCCAGACGTTCCTCACACGATTTACGATGATGTATCTGTGTAAATCTACGTCTATCAAGTGTACCAGTAACTGAAAACAAAAAAAAACATTGAAGATGTTCTAATTAAGGATTAAAAGTGGGAGAAAATTATGGAAAATGAAAAAACAAAGCGATAAACACGTGTACTTCTTCACAGCATTCTGATTAATTGTTTTAATATTGTTAATATGTTAATTTTAAATTGTTTGAATCTCAATCTGAAATACAAAATCATTTCTTACATCACATCATTGTTATTCATCATTGTTGAAATGTTTTCCTTCGACGATTGCAGACATTCAGACATTTAGTTATCCTTTCGGGAGATTAATTGAAACTGTTTAATCGGCGGTTTTGACTCTCGCGTCACTGGATAATAATAATAAATAATTTTTCACGTTCATCCGCCGACAACTCGCTTTCCACCTCAAATCACTCATGGTTGTAGGTCAATCAGTGACTGTCCAATGGTCGATGTACGAGCTGACGAAATACAAATTGTTTGATTTTTTTTTGTCGAGTTTTTGGGGTATTGTTATGGTTGATGGAGTTATGTTTTTTGAGTCGATTGGTTTCGGAATTTTTGGGACAATAGCAACTTTATTGAATGTTGCGTCCATCGACAAACAAACATATTACTTAAAAATGAAAATAACAACTCTACATGGAGAGGAATTCTTTAGAACAATTTTAGTGCTACTAACATGAAATTTTTAGGGATTTCATTGTTATTTTTTATCGGTGGAATTTCTACCTCCGACGATTGCAGACATTCGCTAGTTTTTCAGTTGCGGTTTTGTTTTGTTTCGAGAGATTAACCCCCTAACGTAAATTTCAATATCCCCACTCTACGGCCGTCAAAGCGGAATGCCAGCGGCCCCACTCAAACGCCCTACTATGCTCTACTACGCTTTTCACCTTAGAGGGTTAATTGAAACTGTTTCAATGGCGATTTTGACTCTCTCGTCACTGGACCAACAATTTTCCACGTTCATCCACCTGACAACTCGTTTACCACCTCAAATCGCTCATGGTTGTAGGTCAATCAGTGGGTGTTCAATGGTCGATGTACGAGCTGACGAAATACAAATTGTTTCCCATTTTTTTCTGGTTAGATTTTTGGCGTATTGTTACGGTTGATGGAGTTATGTTTTTTGAGTCGATTGGTTTCGGAATTTTTGAGACAATTACAACTTTATTGAGTGTCGAGACCACCGAAAAAAAGCATATTATTTAAAAGTGAAAATAACTATCGGCGATCGCGATTGCTCTACATTCCTCAACCTTTACAACTCTACCCAACATTACCGCTACCAATTATAATATATTCGAAAATTCCATTGGAACAGTGGATGTTATGATTGATTGATGTTATTTTCATTCGTAAAAAATATATTTGTCGTTCGGTAGACTTGACGTACAATGAAGTTATTATAACTCAATCATTTCTTGCCTCATATCATTTCTGTTCTCCATTGTTGAAAAGTTCACCTTCGACGATTGCAGACATTCGCTAGTTTTTCGGTTGCTGTTTTGCTTCGTTTCGAAAGATTAATTGAAACTGTTTAATCGGCGGTTTTGACTCTCGCCACTGGACCAACAATTTTCCACGTCCATCCACCTGACAACTCGTTTTCCGCCTCAAATCGCCCACGGTTGTAGGTCAATGTAGGGGCTGCTCAATGGTCGATGTAAGAGCTGACGAAACACAAATTGTTTCACATTTTTTTTGTGGTCGAATTTTTGGGGTAGTGTTATGGTTGATGGTGTTATGTTTTTTTAGTCAATTGGTCTCACATTTTTTGGGACAATAACAACGCTATCGAACATTAAGTCCACCGAAAAACAAACATATTACAGTAGATGCTTCGTATAAGATACCTTAGGGACAGTAGGAGAGTGGAATTCCGGGAACCCCTATACCCCCAATACGCGCACCCATAGAGAGGAGAATAATGGGTATCAGCGGGTTTCAAATAAGATAGCTCGCTCGTCCCGCCCGAATTCAATCAAATTTTCATTTTTACTGAATGAATATCGATAACAAAGCAATTTATATGTGGTAATGTTTTGAATTTGTATCGCGCGTATTCCCTTTTTTTCTCTAAACATAACCCCGCGTGACAGAATGGTAGCTAGCTGCGTGAACTTGGAGTCGAAGTTTGATAAATCGATTATCTTTCTTATAGTATCGATTGTACTCAGTGAGTCCCTGAATGTACTACATTCATTTTCTTTTATACCCCGCACTCCTAGACGTAAGAGGTGCGGGAAAAATCGTGCAGCGTCGGAAATGAAGGTACGGAAAAAATTTTCATGAGCAAGGATTCAGCATGGATAGTACTTGTATGTACTATATTTTTCCATTTCATTTATCAACCCCTTCAATACTTTAACCGCTTCTAAAATCTTAAATGTATGAAGGACGTCAGGAAAACATACAGATAACTTCTAAATGGTTAGTATTCGTTTGTACCAACGAAAATTATTCATTATGATTATTATTATTATTATTATTATTCTCATCAAATCAACTGATTCCATTTTTATCAACCGTAAAATCATCGTAATGGATTCCATATGTAGTTCGTGAAGTTTNGGATTCCATATGTAGTTCGTGAAGTTTTGATGTGGGTACAAACGTCTCAACTTCCGTACTTCCACTCCCATCGCAGTACAAACGGAACAATTTACTGTACATGATAATGAGACGAAGTACAAACCATT